CTCGAAAAGCCGAGCCGAGCCCGAGCCGGGCTCGATGTATCGGGTACCCGAAATTTTCGAGTACCCGAAACATTCGGGTACCCGAATTCACTCGAGTACTCGAATATTTCGGGTACTCGAATGAATTCGGGTAACCGAAATTTTCGAGTACTCGATTTAATTCGAGCTTTTAAATTAAAAAAAATTTTTTTTTTAAAAAAAAAAAAATTTAATTAAAAATTAATGTAGAAAATTTTGGATTTTCTCAAGGGCTCGAATCAAATCGAGTACTCGAAAATTTCGAGTACCCGAAAGTTTCGGGTACCCGAAAAATTCGAGTACCCGAAATTATTCGACTTTTTATAAAGCTCGGCTCGGCCCGAGCTCGGCTCGAGCTCGAACTGAATAGGCTCGGCTCGGCTCGGCTCGAAAAATGAAAAGCTCGAAAATACCCGCTCGAGCTTCGGGTTTCGAGCTTTTTGCACACCTCTAGCATTTAGTCGAATGCTTAAAACATCGAATTGTCAATACGTCGAATGTTTAAAACGTCGAATTATCAATTCGTCGAATGTTAAAAATATCGAATCGTCAATATGACGAATGTTCAAAACGTCGAATTATCAATTCGTCGAATGTTAAAAACATCGAATTGTCAATACGTCGAATTTTCCATTCGTCGAATGTTCCAAACGTCGAATGATCAAAACGTCGAATGCTAAAAACATCGAATTCTCAAATCGTCGAATGCTCAAATAGTCCAAACGCCATCTGTTCGAAATGTCAAGTAGTAGAATGGTAAAGTAGTCGAAACGCCATCTGTTCGAATTGCCAAGTAGTAGAATGGTAAAGTAGTCGAATGTTCAAAACGTCGAATGATAAAAACGTCGAATGCTCAGAACATCGAACTGTTAATTCGCCGAATGCTCAAAACGTCGAATGATAAAAACGTCCAATGCTAAAAACATCGAATCGTCAAAAGTTGGAAAAAGTTCTTTGTTTTAAGTTAATGTCTACTGAAGACAAAGAACTTTTTCGAACTTTTGACGATTCGATGTTTTTAGCATTGGACGTTTTTATCATTCGACGTTTTGAGCATTCGGCGAATTAAGGCTGGAGTCCCATGATAGCGTTTTGCGTTGCGTCGTAATGGGAGAGAAAAAGACGCAAATATACGTTTGCTGCATTCTCTCTCATTACAACGCAACGCAAAACGCTGCCATGGGACTGCGGCCTAACAGTTCGATGTTCTAAGCATTCGACGTTTTTATCATTCGACGTTTTGAACATTCGACTACTTTACCATTCTACTACTTGGCAATTCGAACAGATGGCGTTTCGACTACTTTACCATTCTACTACTTGACATTTCGAACAGATGGCGTTTGGACTATTTGAGCATTCGACGATTTGAGAATTCGATGTTTTTAGCATTCGACGTTTTGATCATTCGACGTTTTGAACATTCGACGAATGGAAAATTCGATGAATTAACAATTCGATGTTTTGAGCATTCGACAAATTGATAATTCGACGTTTTGAACATTCGACATGTTGACGATTCGATGTTTTTAGCATTCGACATTTTTATCATTCGACGTTTTGAACATTCGACGTATTGACAATTCGATGTTTTTAACATTCGACGAATTGACAGGGATGGGTTTTGACGCGTCACTTGAGGTTTTATACGTATAATACATTTTCGACGTATTATACGTATAAAACTGTATAAAACTAGGTAAAATACATAATCATGATGGCAGACTTATTTTGACATATTTACCCTCTTTACCATAACCTCAAATGTTTGTTATTTATTATTTATATTCCCATTATTCCTATATTTAAATTTAAAACAAAATTTTGATTGATAAAAAAAGTTTTGCACATGTTACACGTACTATGACACTAGTGAATATAGGTTATGTTGTATGCTTATATTATACATCATATACATATATTACTGTGACGGATATGATTAAATTTCTAAATAAAAGAAATTAAATATGTAAAGATTTTAATTAATAAACATTTTATTTTACTATTAACAAAACGATAAAAAATTTTGTTAATTTAAAAACTAAGAAATTTCAAAATACCACCTTTCAGTTACCTAGTTACGTCATCATATGTAATATACATAATGTAGAAAACCTAGGACCAGGGTTCGGAAGTTACGCGTAACTTGAGAGTTTTTGACGTACACTGTAAAAAAATCTGCTGTAAATTTACTATGTCCGACGTTGGAAAGTTTGGTCACTATGTCCGACGTGGTATTTTTACACGCCGACTGTAATCTACATAACCTGCAAATATTTTTTGAAATAATATTTTCAGTCGTAACTTTTTGTATTTATGAAATATAGCCCAAAACTTTTTGTTATATTATTATTTACTTATAAATTAGCATATACTTTCTATAAATGTACATTATATACACTTTTTTAGAGTTATTTATAAAAACTTGAAAATTTTTTGAAAATCTTAAAGGAATAAGAAAATTACATTCGCCATGTAATTGTACAGATCGTGCGACGTAATATTACGTCAAAGTGTAGAAATACACGCAATGTAAAAATACCACGTCGGACATAGTGATCAAATTTTCCTACGTCGGACGTAGTAAATTTACACAAAACTATTAAATTACATAGTCGTATAATGTAAAATTATTAAAAATAGTAAAACTACTTTTGGAACGAAATAAATTTACTACGTACAACCTATAATTTTGATGTGTGAAATTACAAGTTTCGTGTTATTTTACACCAGATTTTTTTGAGACGCATGAATATCCCCTAATCGCCAAGTCGTCGAATGATCAAATAGTCGAATGCCAAGTAATCGAATTGACAAAACGTCGAATGCTAAAAACATCGAATCGGCATTTAGTCGAATGCTTAAAACATCGAATTGTCAATACGTCGAATGTTCAAAACGTCGAATTATCAATTCGTCGAATGTTAAAAATATCGAATCGTCAATATGACGAATGTTCAAAACGTCGAATTATCAATTCGTCGAATGTTAAAAACATCGAATTGTCAATACGTCGAATGTTCAAAACGTCGAATGATAAAAACGTCGAATGCTAAAAACAACGAATCGTCATGTAGTCGAATGCTAAAAATATCGAATCTTCAGTTAATCGAATGCTAAAAACATCGAATTCTCAATTCGTCGAATGTTCAAAACGTCGAATGTTTAAAACGTCGAATGCTAAAAACGTCGAATGTTCAAAATGTCGAATGCTCAAAACGTCGAATGATAAAAACGTCGAATGCTAAAAACTTCGAATCGTCATTTAGTCGAATGATAAAAACATCGAATCGTCAATACTTCGAATGCTAAAAACATCGAATTGTTAATTCATCGAATGCTTAAATCATCGAATTTTCCATTCGTCGAATGTTCAAAACGTCGAATGATCAAAACGTCGAATGCTAAAAACGTCGAATTCTCAAATCGTCGAATGCTCAAATAATCGAAACGCCATCTGTTCGAAATGTCAAGTAGTAGAATGGTAAAGTAGTCGAATGGTAAAGTAGTCGAAACGCCATCTGTTCGAATTGCCAAGTAGTAGAATGGTAAAGTAGTCGAATGTTCAAAACGTCGAATGATAAAAATGTCGAATGCTCAGAACATCGAACTGTTAATTCATCGAATGCTCAAAACGTCGAATGATAAAAACGTCGAATGCTAAAAACATCGAATCGTCAAAAGTTTGAAAAAGTTCTTTGTCTTCAGTAGACATTAACTTAAAACAAAGAACTTTTTCGAACTTTTGACGATTCGATGTTTTTAGCATTCGACGTTTTTATCATTCGACGTGTTGAGCATTCGACGAATTAACAGTTCGATGTTCTGAGCATTCGACATTTTTATCATTCGACGTTTTGAACATTCGACTACTTTACCATTCTACTACTTGGCAATTCGAACAGATGGCGTTTCGACTACTTTACCATCCGACTACTTTACCATTCTACTACTTGACATTTCGAACAGATGGCGTTTCGATTATTTGAGCATTCGACGATTTGAGAATTCGATGTTTTTAGCATTCGACGTTTTGATCATTCGACGTTTTGAACATTCGACGAATGGAAAATTCGATGATTTAAGCATTCGATGAATTAAAAATTCGATGTTTTTAGCATTCGAAGTATTGACGTTTCGATGTTTTTATCATTCGACTAAATGACGATTCGATGTTTTTATCATTCGACTAAATGACGATTCGAAGTTTTTAGCATTCGACGTTTTTATCATTCGACGTTTTCAGCATTCGACGTTTTAAACATTCGACGTTTTGAACATTCGACGAATTGAGAATTCGATGTTTTTAGCATTCAATTAACTGAAGATTCGATATTTTTAGCATTCGACTACATGACGCTTCGATGTTTTTAGCATTCGACGTTTTTATCATTCAACGTTTTGAACATTCGACGTATTGACAATTCGATGTTTTTAACATTCGACGAATTGATAATTCGACGTTTTGAACATTCGTCGTATTGACGATTCGACGTTTTTAGCATTCGACGTTTTAATCATTCGACGTTTTGAACATTCGACTAAATGCCGATTCGATGTTTTTAGCATTCGACATTTTGTCCATTCGATGTTTTTAGCATTCGACGTTTTGTCCATTCGATTACTTGGCATTCGACTATTTGATCATTCGACGACTTGGCGATTAGGGGATATGCATGCGTCTCGTATAAAACCACGTATTATACATCATGTATTATACGCACCCATCCCTGCAACTTGGCGATTAGGCTGGAGTCCCATGGTAGCGTTTTGCGTTGCGTTTTGTAACTAGACCATGAGTGTGAGAGAGATGGTGATTTATGTTTGCTATATTTGCACTCATGGCCTAGTTATAAAACGCAACGCAAAACGGTGCCATGGGACTCCACCCTTAGGGGATATGCATGCGTCTCGTAAAAATTTTGTAGAAGCGAAGAGGATGTTCCCAACCCTGCCAGTGTAGAAAATAACGCGTAGCTTCCCATCTCTGCTTACTCATCTAAATCCTAACCTAAGTTATACATCACGTGGTGTTTTTGTCTGTTGGCGGATATAATCGGTATAAATAAAATCAATTAATCATTATGGGTAAAAAAAGGAAAAATAATGAGAAAGACGATGAATTTGAATTTGATCCTCTTCCAAAACACCTTCAAGTTCGTCACATAAAGAATCAGGAGAAACGTCTTATTGTAATTTTAGAAAATGCCCAATTGGAATCAGTCAAAGTAAGTTAGAAATTACATTTGAATCTTTATATTTATTTATTTATACACATTGTACTATATTTGAACTTTTCAACAGGTAGGCAACAATTTTCAACTTTTGAATTGTGACGATCATGCGAGTATTTTAAAAAAAGATAACCGTCCACCCGGTAATAGTAGACCTGACATAACACATCAATGTCTATTAATGTTAATGGATAGTCCTCTCAATAGAGCCGGTTTATTACAAGTCTATATTAAAACGGAGAAAAATGTACTTATTGAAGTAAATCCACAGACAAGAATTCCTAGAACTTTTAATCGATTTGCTGGTCTTATGGGTGAGTTATTAAATGTCAAGAAAACTTTTACTTTTTGACCATGTCTATACGGCCAGTTAACTGGCAGAATAAGGTGGTTTAATTATTTGGCCAGTGACTAGAAATAAAGGAATAGCTGGCAGAATAAGATGATTAAATAATTCTGCCAGTGCACTGTCAGAATAAGGAGGTTTAATTATTTGGCCAGTGACTAAAAAAAGAGAAAAGCTGGCAGAATACGATGACGAAATAATTCTGCCAGTGTACTGGCAAAATAAGATGGTTTTACTATTTGGCCATTGTATTAATAAAGCGCCTATCAGGTATAAATATATGTTGGATGGTTGTTTGTTTATTTAAAATTTTAACCAATCTTGTACAAATTTTTAAAAAAATTCCAAAACGGGTAAATTGATTCTGCTTTAAGTGTGACATGAACTAAACTTATTAAGAAATTTTTGTTAAAATTTATATTATAATTAATATTATAAAAATAATAAATATATAGGGAAAAGAGCCCCAAGATAGACATTTCGTTTAAAATTTTTGTATAAAGTAGGAGCACCTTATGCTTTTTGTTGTTTTTGTTGTTAGTATAGAAGAAGTTCTTGATGCACATTTGAAGGAAAAAAAGCAATTTGTTTTTATTCTGCACACATTTCCTAAAATTTGTGTCTCACGAAGTTTTCTTATAATTTCTTCCTAAATCGGTAAAGTTATTTAAATTATAGCTTTTCAATAGGCCAAAAAATACCTAATATATTGTCAGGGTGGTCACAAGTTTCAGATTATCAATTTTCCTGACAATTTACTGACATTAAAATTATATTCCCTGACAAATTTTTTTTTACAGGAAAATATGAAAGTTTACGGAAAATGAGTAAAATTTATGAATTTTAATAATTTCCAAAAATAACAATTATAATCCTTTCTAAATTCAATTATTTTCTATAATTTACTACCAAACTTCATCTCTACATCAATTATTTTAAATAATTTTTCGAAACTTCTATTAGAATTTAATTATTCAAATACAAAAAGTAAATTTTTTATAATAATTGTAATTGTCCAGGTTTTTTTCTAAAGTTATTAAGGTATAATATTTTCTAAAAATTATAACAAATTTTTAATTCTTTTAATTCTTACAATTAATTTTTTAAAAATATTTTAAAATAATTTTTGAAAGATAATAGTTTTTTAATTATATACACAATTGAAAATCTTCTAAAAATAATTGAAGTTTTGAAAAAAGTATCTAAATAAAAATAATCGAAATTTTGAAGAATTTTATTTATAAATATGACCATTATTTCTCAGAAATTTAAACAATATCTAAAACAGTAAATTTTTATCAATTTTTATTTATTTTGTTCGAAAATAATTTAATCTTAAAAAATTATGATAAAACAATTCGAAGAATTAGTTATTAATAATATTTTAATGTAATTTTTCGAAAATAATTGAATTTCTTAAAAGAATTTTTGTATAATTTAAAAAAAAAACTAATTAATTTCTTATAGAATTTTAATTAAAAATTTTGAACACGTTTTTTTTCTCCAAAATGTTAAAAATAATTCTAAAATGTTATTACTTTTTGTATATATCTGAATTTTTAGAAATATGTACTTAATTGAAAATATTGAATTTTAAAAAATTAGAAGCTATTTTTCATTAATTTTCATTTTTAAAACATTTAAAGAATTTTCATGAAATTTATGATAATTCAATTATTTTCAAAATTTACAATGAAAATTCTTCAAAAGTTGATTTTCAAAAATTGTAACAAAATACTTGAAAGAAATAATTGTTTTCAATTGTTTTAAAAAATGATTCAAGAATAATTTTTGAAAAATTTGTTATAGTTTTTTTTCGCACTATAAAATGAAAATAATTTTCATTTTATACTAAAAGATGAGGTATTTTGTTGCAATTTTTGAAAATAAATCGAAAATTGGCTCAATTTTCTTAGTTTATACCTACCAAAAAAATTTGTTTTCTGTCATTTCCCTGATTTTACTTTTTCACCTTTTGCACCCTTTTTGTTAAATTGTCTCTACCTCATATATTTGGTTGTTTTTTTAATTTATCAAAATGTCAGCTTGCCCGTATATTGAAATATTAAAAACTGTTTATTTTGACTGGCCAAATAGAGTCCCTTTTTTATTTGGCCTGATTTAGATATTAATTGTATATTTTTTTAGATACACTGGCCAAATAAGAAAACTAACTTATTCTGCCAGTTCACTGGCAGAATATTTAAACCACCTTATTTTGACAGTTAACTGGCCGAATAGACACTCCGTTACTTTTTACTTTTTTTTTTAAAAATAATTTTAAAGGAGACAAATATATTTAATTTTTCATTGAATTTCATAAAATTATTTCTCTATTTTAGTTCAACTGCTACACAAATTTTGCGTCCGTTCTTCGGATAGTCCAATGAAATTATTAAAAGTTATCAAAAATCCAGTAACGAATCACCTTCCTGTTGGTTGTAAAAAAATTGCCATGTCATTCAGTGCAAAAGAAGTTAAGAATCCACGAGATTTGGTTCCTTCCGATGAACCCATTGCTATTATTGTTGGAGCAATGGCACATGGACAGGTGAGTTGATTTTTCTTTCAAAATCATCTTTTACTCTACTAAATAAATATAAAACATCGAAAAAGATACTTTGTTGTCAGTCAGGGATTTTTATTAAAAGAACCTTATTTGTTTGCCTCATAAACTATGAAATTACCACGAATTCTAATACAGAACCTTCAATTTTTTCCATTTCTGACAATAATTATTTCTTTTTAAATAACTTAATTCTTCAAGAACTATCATAAAATTACCTGTTACTTATAAATTATTTTTATTTTTATTTGTTGAAAACACTAAAAAAAATTCAATTTTGGAGAAATTACAAATAATTGCAGAAATTCAGTTATTTTGAAAAAAAAATAAAATTTTTCTTATAAAATTCAACTATGTTCAAAATTTGAAAAAAATTCTCGTAAAAATCCCAATTATCTTTATAAATTAACAAATTTCTTCTCCAATCTTCAATTATTTTCAGAAATGTCAAAAAAATTCTTGTCCTAATTTCAATTATTTGCAAAAATTTGTCTAATTTATTATTTTAATAAAATTTCCTAAAAAGAATTCAATTATTTAAAAAAAATTTTAATAAAATTGTATGCAAACATTTAATTATTTTCATAAATAATAAAAATTTTTTAAGGAATTCAATTATTATTTTCATAAAAAATAATTTTAAATTCTAGAAAATAATAATTTAATTAAAATGATGAAAATAATTTTGATGAAGTTACAGTAACAATATTCTTATAATATATAATAATGATTTTATCTCTTGGTCATCTTTAATTATTAGAAAACCTGAAGAGTCTTTGACTCGGAACAATCGATATCTTCATGTTTTATAACAATACTTTTATAAGTTATTTAATTTAAAATAGGTTTGAATTTGAAATTTTTGAATGTCTTAATTCCTGTGGAAAATCCTGTTCCAAAAATAAGATTAAAAATAGGAATTGTGCAAATATTTTTCTTCTTTTTCTAAAACAAAATAATAATTTTGTTAAAAAAATTGTGATTCATAAACAAAAATAATGCAAAATAAATTAATTTCCCATTTCATAATAACAGTGGTTTAACAATTTTCTAATTTTGTTTAGAAATAAGGAACAAAAATCTGCATAATTTCAATTTGACAAAACATAATATTTAACAAAATTTTAATCTTTTAATGAAAAGAATTGAAAAAAAATTCTGATGATTTCTATTTGTCATTACAATTTTGAATTAATTATATAATAAAAATAATTATGACATAATAATAATATACAATATATCTAAAGATAACAAAAAACAAACAAAAACAAATTAATTCAATTTTTAAAAAGTTGCGTTTACAACTTTCAAAAATAGATAAACTTCAAAAGGATTTAATTTGAAATTTTATAAAATTTTAATTTTGAATGAATTTAATTAGAAATTTTAAACAACTTAGATGTTCAGAAAATTTTAATAATTCAAATTCTTCTGAAATTAGTTAAATTTTTTAAAATACATTTAATTATTTATTAGAAATATTTGATCTATAGAAGAATTTTAGTTAAAAGCACTAAAACAAAATTGAATTTTGGAGAAGTTCCAAATGATCGTCAAAATTCCAATTATCTTTAATAATAATATAAATCTTCTCTGAAATTCAATTATTTTAAAAAAATTTCCTCAATTTAGTGATTTTCAATATCTACTATTTTAATAAAATTCTCCGACAGAATTCAATTATTTAAAAAAAATGTTGATAAAACTGTACCTACGCAAATATTTAATTATTTTCATAAATAATAAAAATTTCACAAGAATTTAATTATTTACAAATTTTTTATAAATTTCTTCACAAGAATTTCATTATTTTCATAAGTAATAAAATTTATTTTTGGAATTCAATTATATTCATAAATAATAAAATTCTTTTTTAGGAAATTAATTATTTTCATAAATAATAAAACTCATCGCAGAATTTTAATTATTTTTAATTTTAATACAATTTTAATCAAATTCCTCAAAAAATGTAATTATTCTTGAAAATTTTATTAAAATTCGCCAAAAGAATTCTTTATGAGAATTCAATTTTAAGAAACATTCAATTACCAATATTTTATTTTTTTGTATTTATATAATTGAATTCTCGTAGAATTTTTTAACAAAAATTGATTTTTCTTCAAGGAAAAAGAAATAAAGAGTACAGTAGGAATTCAATTATTTTTATAAATAATAAAACTCATAGCAGAATTTAATTATTTTTAACACAATTTTAATCGAATTCCTCGAAAAATGTAATTATTCTTAAAAATGTTATTGAAATTTATCAAAGAATTCAATTATTTAAAAATTTCTTGATAAAATTTATAATTTATAGAATGAATTTTTAGAAATAATTGATTTTTGAAGAGGTTTAAAATTTATTTATTTATTTATTTACAAAATCTGTTAAAAATTAAATTAAATTAAAATCTTTAAAAATCTAAATTTTTCATACTTTTAACTAACAATTCTTTGAAATTAATTTTTTTGAAAAAGTGTAATTGTATTTTTTTTTAATTAATTTGAAGTTTTTATTTTCTAATGTACATTTAATTGAAGAATTTCCGAATAATCGAAATTTCGTAAAATTGAATTCTAAACAAATGGATTTGAAATTAATTAAAATTAAATTGCAGGTAAAAACGGACTACATGGAAGACACATTTTCCATAAGTAATTATCCTCTCTCAGCTGCTTTGACATGTGCTAAATTATGTTCAGGCTTTGAAGAAGTATGGGGAATTGTTTAAGTTAAATATTTTAATTAAAACATACTTAGAATAAGTAATTTTCTAATAATAATAATTGTAAATATCTTTGTAATACATTTTGATAAAATTGTTAGTTCATTGGAAATTAATTAAAGCAATTTTAATTACAAAATAAATGCATTTTAAATATACGAAAATTCATTTTTAAACTTAAAGAGTAAATATGTAATCTCTTAATTTTGAATTTCAGGAATCATGTTTAAAAACTACTGATCTACTTTTATTTTTAAGTGTCTAATATTCATAATAATTTTCCAACTTTTAAAAAGTACATACATTTTAATTTTAATTTATAAACATTTGAGTTTAATTTAATTCTGCAAAATCGTTAATTAGAATTTAAATATTATTTTTATTTGAATTTTTTTTTTTTTTTTGATACATAGTTCAATTATTTATTAATATCTTTGTAAATAAATTAATTTTTAATTTATGATAAAAATTAAAAATTTAATAAATATGTAACAATAAAATCTATAATAACAGAATTCTCTTTTATCAAATTTTGAACTCTGTTTTATCATTAAAACTTTTCAATTTTTAATTAGTTAAATTTATAGGTGGCTCTACAAATATTTTCGAAATTGTTGTCTTACTTTCTGGCAATCGTATAATTATTGAAAAGTTTTTAATAACACCTTTTGATGATAACAATTTGAATATTATAAATTTTAATAAAAACAATTTTCAAATAAAAGCGGCAATAATGCCCAATTAACATGTAGCATTTATCGCATGCGCAATTAAAAAGAAAGGATCTACTTTTATTTTTAAGTGTCTAATATTCATAATAATTTTCCAACTTTTAAAAAGTACATACATTTTAATTTTAATTTATAAACATTTGAGTTTAATTTAATTCTGCAAAATCGTTAATTAGAATTTAAATATTATTTTTATTTGAATTTTTTTTTTTTTTTGATACATAGTTCAATTATTTATTAATATCTTTGTAAATAAATTAATTTTTAATTTATGATAAAAATTAAAAATTTAATAAATATGTAACAATAAAATCTATAATAACAGAATTCTCTTTTATCAAATTTTGAACTCTGTTTTATCATTAAAACTTTTCAATTTTTAATTAGTTAAATTTATAGGTGGCTCTACAAATATTTTCGAAATTGTTGTCTTACTTTCTGGCAATCGTATAATTATTGAAAAGTTTTTAATAACACCTTTTGATGATAACAATTTGAATATTATAAATTTTAATAAAAACAATTTTCAAATAAAAGCGGCAATAATGCCCAATTAACATGTAGCATTTATCGCATGCGCAATTAAAAAGAAAGGACCAAAATTAAAACAACTTACCCTTAAATGACAGTTGTTAATTAACATAATTCCGTTTAAAAATACAATTTACTATAAATTTACGATTTGATTTTTGCCTATTTACGGAAATGTAGAAAATATTTTGAAAATTTTGTCAAATTTGATATTAGACGGTTTAAATAAACGCGCGCGTTTTTCACCAATGAGCAGTCGTTAATCGACGCATGCGCAGCGATTTTCGGATCACTTTTGCTATGTGTTTCGGCAAACTTCCCTCTGGTTTCCCTCCTCATTTCTTTATATCTAATATTAAAAGAAAATCTCTTCTACTTTATCAACTACTACTTTCAATTTCACTACTACTTTCAAATTTACCGCCTCTTTCTATTTCATCTCTCTTACTGTTAAACCTCATTCACACACCAGGTCATGGCCAAATATACAGGCGCAACGCCAGTATGGGCCAACGTTAATTATATTCTATTCTATTTTGCTATGTGTCCAGAGCCGTACAAGATGGCTGACACTTGTTAGTGGTGTGTATTTTTATTTCAAGTCAATGTGCATTTTCTAACGAAATCCGAGTGCTTCGCTTCGGCGTGAAAAGCGTGTATTATTGTGAAAGAATATTATCGTTCGTTTTGTTATTATTTGAAACAATTTTTTAACCGTGTTTCGTCGCGATGTGTCGTGAAAGTGTGTGAGGCCCAATAATTACCCGTCACTCAGCCATGTTCATGTGAGTTCTTTTGTTATGACAATTGCAGTGAAATTCGCGTGTGATTATTGTAAAGTGCCTGTGGTGGGATCATTTTTTGATCAATTCGATAAATTTGATCAAGAAAATCTAACGAGATTGATAAAGTCCGAAAACAATAGACTAAATGAAAGGTAGGCGTTACTTCTCTAAATGCATTGATCTCAATACTCCCCTGTGTTCAGAAAGTCAAATGTCTTGTTCGTGAGCTCATGCAACATCGCAGGAAATGATTTTTAAGGTCACGATTGTTGTCATCTGCTCGATATGTTGTTTATCTGATAAATTAATTAATCGATTGGTTTTATATAATATTTATTTATTATTAAATTTTGTCGGAGAGAAATCTCCTCACTCTCGCGCTGTCACAAAACGAGCGTCTCTCTTTTGCGGCTGCTGCTGCTGCTGTCAAATGCTTCCTAACTCCCTGCAATATTTTCTCCATTCTTCTTAATAATTCATTGTCTTTAACTTTTAATATTTCATCCGATTCTTCTAAAAATTGTTTTATTGTCATTTTTCTTCTCTTCTTGAATAATTATTTTAAAAAATATATACAAATTCAAGAGGTTAGATTGTTTATATTGTTGACAGTTTTAAAAAGACAACAATAGACATTATCCTCGTTTTTTCCAAGTAGAATTTAATTACTCGCTTTTTAACTGCTTGAGTAGTTGATACTTCTTGTGAAGGAATAAACATAGAGCGTTACATATGGCTTTAATCTTGGGAGTGATTAAATCTTCTGACCTAATCATTCAAATCACTCGTAAATCACCGATAAACTACTTTGCTTTTACTATTCGTTATTTTCACTATTATTTCTTATTCAGAACAAGTTTGTTGGATTTATTTAGTTTCTAATATATGCATTTTATTTATTAAGTCAAATCACAAATTACTTTTTTATGTATATAATTTTTACTGCTTTGGAATTTACGACTTCTATGTGACGTGGTTCTTCCGTCTTGCGAAATGAAATCATTCCTTTTTCTTCATTTCGAAAAGAAACAAACAATTTTTTATTTTCTATTTTAGTCTAATTTTTTAGAGCACTTTTTTAAATTCAAATTTCAGTAGTTTTAATTTTGTTAAGATGAACTTGTCAATTCAAATTTTATAAATTTATTTTCCATTATTTTTTTCTACTTTATTTTGCAAAAAAAATTTGGAAAAGGTTTGTTTTTGTCTAATAATTATTCAGTCAGTCTTGAGTCATCTTTAAAAAAATATCGCATTATTATGCACAAAAATTTTACTAACCTGTTACCTTCGAGTCTTGATTTTTTTATTTTTTGTTTTCAAGAGAAAAACTAATATGTTTTTCAAAGTGTATAAATTTTCGTTTTATGAATACAAAATGATGAAAATATTGCAAATAATGGTAAATTGTAATGAAACGAAACGCTTTCACTTAAATAAATATGATACAATGATGATCGTTTTTAAAAAAACACTTATCTCTTGGATTCTGTCATTCAATTTGCATAAATCGTGTGAGAATCGACGAGTATTATTTTCAATTGTTGAATTCTTATATATATATATATATATATATATATATATAAGAGACATGGTCATGGTCACTTACGTCAAAGTTTTTCAAATATTAAATGAAGTGTTGAAATCTTACTTAAATGAATAGATGCATGCGCTTATTTCTATTGTGTTTTTATGCAGTCTATTGTTTCAACAATCAATTAAAAGAGAAACAGTTTGTTTTTTTCTTGCAAATTTTTTTGTATTCAAATAATCATGTTCTATATATATTTCAATGTACCAAATTTGCTCGTTTTTTTACATTCTCATCACATGAGAAAGTATTAGTTTTGGTCGAAAATTGACTTTTGATAATTTTATGAAATCTTTACGTTTTGAGGTCCCCTGAACCCGAAAAACATGGTCCGGCGAGTCCGTCTGTCTGTGTGTCTGTATGTCTGTCTGTCTGTCTGTCTGTCTGTCTGTCTGTCTGTCTGTCTGTCTGTCTGTCTGTCTGTCTGTCTGTCTGTCTGTATGTATGTATGTCCGTCTGTAGACCAAAATGTTGTTGACACAATAACTTTTAAAAATCTTATCTGATCGTTTTTAAATTTAACACACTTAAAGGTTGGTGAAAAAATAAAGGTTAAGTTCGTTAACCAGCCATTTTCGTTGAAAACTACAAAAACTGCGGTAGTTTCAAAATTTTGAAAACTCAATTTTTTCAAATTTCAGAATTTTTAACTTTATATTATTTTAGATTAGGAAAATACAAACAACTTTTCTTTATAACATTTTTTTTAAAAAACTTTTTTTTTTTTTTTTAAGTTTTTGGGCCCGACCAGTTCTACTGTGTTAAAAAAATTTATTGTTTTTTAAAATCTTAAAACTTTTATAAATATCTGTTGTTTAGAATACTATGTAGTTATTATTATTTTATTATTTTTCTTATCTAAAGCGCCTAAAAACTAGGGTTATTTTTAAATTTTGCAAATAATTAAGATGTTCATAAAAACATAAAGATATTTTATGATTTAATCAATTTGAGCAGCAGTTTATACAAATAATGGTTATTGACAAATGAAGGGCTGGCTGCAATAAGGGGACGAACGCGTGGTTGAAAGGAATAATACTAGTCAAGTAGCAGTGAGCGGCTTAAGGCTTGTCACTGTTACCCGACTTGTATTTTTAAAATATTGTAGCTTCTTCAACAACCCATATTTCTGCGAAAATATTTAGTAGTTAAAATAATTTCTCATTTTCGATCAGCAAGAACAAAAATTTGCATTTAAGTTCACTTAATCTCGCAATTATCAGCAAGCAAAAATATGTGATGAGAATGTAATCCTTATAAAGTCGTAGTAACTTTAAGAAAAAATAATTCCTTGAAACATATAATAGAAAAAAGGAAAAGAACACAAATAATGCACAACGGTCGTGGATGACTGCGAGCTATTTGCGCGCAACAATCCTCGGAGCGCGAAGCGCGACGACCAAAATTCGCGCGCCCCGAGGCGCGCTGAAACTTGCGAGCCTCCCGCGCGAAGCGCGGATGAGAATGTGTCCGCCCGAAGGGCGGGCAGGTTTTTTTTTTTACTATAAAAGTATCAAATTTTTCATCTCATTCAAATTTTTTTACATTCTGACTTCGAGAATTGTCTCACAAAGTTCACAACATTTGTGTTGAATAATAATTAAGAAGAATAATTATTTTTCAAAGCAAAAATATTTACAAATTTAAAAAAAAAATTTCTGATATTTAAGCAGAAAGATAAAAGTATTTCTGATACATTTTAAAAAGAAATAATTTTTGAGATAAAATATAATTCTTTTTTGCTTTCCGTGTGAGAAATAATTTTTAACCCTTCAATTGTTGATTGTAAAAGTTTTGTGAATTTCCGCTAGGTAAATTTTAAGTTTTTCGGAAAATAACATTTAAAATTCTTTTGGATAATTAATAATATAAAATTTTCATTTTTTTAAAAAATATTTTGTTTGAATTAAATTATGAAAATAATCTGAATGAAAATATTACTAAAGGAAATTAAATTAACGTTTTCGAATTAATTATAATAGACGAAAGATTTAATTAATTGTAATTGTAATAGATAACAATTGAACTGTTAGATAATAGTAAATTGCAAAATAATAGGTTTTCCATTTGTTGTTTTATTGACACTAATTATAGAAGATAATAATTATTAGAAAAAATGAACGATAATTAGGTAAACAATAGCAATTTTAACTATTATATAATTAATTAGAAGAATATTAAATTTTTTTCCAATATCTAATGATATAGAAAATCGCATTTTTTGGCCGAAAATTTAAAAGAAAAAATTACAAAAAATTTTATTAAAAAAATAAATTTAATTTTTATAATTTTAAGCATTAGAGAAAAATTATTTGAAAATTTTTAAGTGCGTTTTAACTGGAAATGGTTGAAGAAAATAATTAGTCAAAATTTATTGCAACGTAAACTTTATTTCTGAAAAGTGTTTACTTTTGTTTTCTAAGCAATTCAATGAACAATAATGTTTTGATTAGTTTTAAACATTACTTTTAAATTACTGTTTATGTTTATAGCAATAATTTTTGCCATTGCGTGTAAAAATTATATTTATTTATATTTAAATCAATGAAAATTTTATTTTTTTTTGTACTTCTTCTTTCGATTTTTTTTCCAAATATTTCAATAAAATGTAACTTTTTTGCTATAAAATTCAACTTATTTAAATTTTTACAGTAAGAAAAGTAACTATAGTCTAATCTTTCAAAAATTATTTTTTTAATGTAATTAAATTTTCGAAATAGAAAATTATAAAGATTTTCAATAATTAAAATTTTACTGAAAATCATATTTCGAAGAATAAGAATATCAAATTCTGAAAATGATTGAATTCTTAAAAATTTTAATAAAAAATCTTCAAATGAAAATTAGCTTCAAAAAATTAATTAAAAATTTTTTTTGAAAAAAGCAATTCTAAGAATTTTCTTATTATAATTAGGTTATAAAAATTCAATTATTAATTTTCAATATTTTCTATTATATTTGACTGTGAATTCAAATATCTATAAAAATAATTACAAATAAAATTTTTTAAAAATCTAATTTTTTAGAATTGTTAATATAGTTTTTAAGAAAACAATCATTCTCGTAATTTTTAATAAAATTCAGATTCTTCAAAAAATTGATTAGTTTCTTACAAATTGTCCGAAATGGGCCGAAAATTCTTTAAAAAAATTTAATTGTTTTCGAAAAATTACATTATAAAATTTTTAAAAAACTACTCCTAAAATTTTCTTTATATTTTTTTTTGAAATTCAATTATCTTTATTTTCATATTCAAATAGGTTCAGAAATTTCTGTACTAAAATGGAAAATAGGATAAATTGAATATTTATTTAGTTCTAATAAATAATTTTTTATTAAACAAAATAATGACTTTTCTCAATGAAATACAAATTAAAAGAAGTAACAAAAATATCACCGTTCATTTGAACGTTCGAAACTTTAAGAACATTACAATTGTAATTTTAGTAGAAAGTAATTAAATTTTGGGAGGTTTGAAATTGAAATTTAACAAATTTTGATTCCTGCGCGAAAGAACTAACATTGAAGTTAATGATATTGAAGGAAAAAAAATAGTTTCTTATGTTTGAACTACATTAATTTTTGTTGTAATTTCAGATTTTTTTATTGAAAAAGCATTTTTCAAAGTTTTTGGATAAAAAAAATGATAAACAAAAAGATTTTGTTTATTTTTGTTTAAATAGTTGTCAGTAAATTTTTGTAAATTCAAAACTCGACGGTGTTTGGAGAGAGAATAAAATTGAAGTTTTTTATTGTTGTGGTGAGAATTTAAAATGTATATATCTTTCATTTGAAACTCTAATTGGCACTCTCCACTTGTGGAACTTAATTTAACCCAAGAGTAATCTGCCTCACTCTAAATCTGCACAGTTTCTGCAGTTCAGTGATTTTCAGTGATATTACATGAGTGATAGTGGCTTTTAGAGTAGTACGATAGTTGCTTTTACACAGTTCGTTAAATTTACCAGACTTCCGGTTTCACAATGGCACACTCTGTTCATTCTGGCGATGAAGGGTTTTTGCCCAGGAGGCACCATGACGATATTTGCATTTTGGTTCGTTTGTAGGGAAATGTAGTTATCGCTCTAAACACCTGACAGACCACTATATACCTGAACCACTTTCTATTGTCACTACTTTATAAACCGCCTTGTTGTTTTGCCAATCTTTTTTATTTTTTTTCGTCTCTCCTCTTCTTTCTATATATGCAGAGCAATTATCAAATCGTCCTTTGCTCTCACAACCCTTGAAATTTTTCTCTCGCAATGAATTTATTTTCTGTCCCTGTGATTATTATCGCTTTAGGGACGAAGGTGCTATATTTAACTTTAAAGATTTTTTTACGCTTTTCCAATATGTTCAAGTTGAATCAATTTTACGTATTTTTGCAGGGCTCGAACTAGGTCCGTAAATTTTCTTGTCACTTTTATTGAAAAAAATCTCCATAAAGTCCGTAATTTGATTGAGAAAAGACGAAAAGTTTGTAAATTGTACGATATAATTTGAGGAATTTTAGAGAAATTAAAAATGATTGCAAAAATTCTATTATGTTCAAAAATTTTTAAAAATTCTTGTCAAAATTTCAATTATTTACAAAAATAATTCAATTTTTCTACAATATTCAATTATTTTCAAAATTTTTTGTCAAAATTCCAATTATTTTCAAAAATAGAATTCTCCTCAATTCAATGATTTTTAATATCTACTACTTTAATAAAATTTTCCAAAAGAATTCTATTATTTAAAAAAAATTTAATAAAATTCTACACAAACGTTTAATTATTTTTAAATAAAAATTCCACAGGAATTCAATTATTTACAAATTTTTTTATAAATTTTTCCACGATCAATCAACTATTTTCATAAGTAATAAAATTCTTTTTAGGAATTCAATTATTTTCATAAATATTAAAACTCATTGCAGAATTTCAATTATTTTCCATTCAATTTTAATTAAGTTCCTCGAAAAATGTAATTATTCTTAAAAATTTTATTAAAATTCGTCAAAAGAATTCAATTATTTAAAAATTTAAATTGACAAAATTTTTTATGGAAATTGAATTTTAAGAAACATTCAATTATTCAATAAAATTTTAGATTATAATTGAATATTAAAAGCATATAGAATCTTTAAAAATCTGAATTTTTCATATTTTAAACTAACAATTCTGAGGAAATAATTTTTTTGAGAAAGTTTATTTGAGTTTTTTTTTAAATTTTTGGAAGTTTTCATTTTTTGATAATATATTTAATTGAAGAATTTTCAAATAATTGAAATTTTGTAAAATTGAATTGTAAACAAAATAATGAATTTAAAATTTCTGAGGCATTTCACGTCAGAAATAGGGTAAGTGTGGGTATTCCTGCGAGTGACACAATTATTGCGATTTTTAAAAAATTATTATTTTCATTTTGAAATATACGCCTAATTTTTTCAAAATAATTACAAAATTTATTTTGAATCTTACTTGATAGAATAGCTCATAAAAATGTACATTCCGACAATTATTAATTTCTTTATTTAAATTTAAAATATATTATGACAGAATTCTGTGACATTATCAAATATGTCAGTCATGAATGCATATTAAAAACCGTTGATATTTCCAATATTCACTATAGTATACATGTTTCAGTGTTACTAATGAAAGAAGTACACTTTATTATTTGAAAAATATATTAATTTACCCATCTATTATTGATTTTTAATTAATAATACTTAAAACTATATTAGTAGCAGAATTTTTACTGCCGCATGTTAGTATTATTGCGATTTTTAAATACGTTTACTGCGCAACGCATACTAAACATAACCTCTTTTTTGACAACCAGCGCGCTATGCGACATCTGATTTTCTGCAATAATGCTCGCACAATAATTGGTGTTTCCTTCATAAATGTCACACAATATTACTCGCGAGTCAACAATAATACATGTGTTGACAATTAGTTTTTAATTTACTTTTTTAAATACAAATAAGTAACGAAATTTGATTGAGTTTAATTGTTTGGAAAATATAATAATTAAACTTTAATTTGTAAATGAAAAAACTGCATTTCATTTTTTCGTAAACTTAGACGAGCTTTGCAAAGTTAACCTACACTAAAAATTCGCAGAAATACCACACTTACCCTATCACGATTCGCAAAGGGTATGCCGATTTTCGCATAACTTAGTGGAATTATAGTTCTATATAAGAGACTTCTTTCCCTCAAATTTTTTTTAAAAAAATTCAAAATTGTTGAAGATACGCCATTTTGAATTTTAATATTAATTTTATAAAATTTTGAAAATCTCGGAATATTGTTTATGGATTTTTATGAAATTTACACATTTTGCAGGTAAAAGTATGTACTTTAAAATGCAAATAAAGTTAATAAAAAAAATTTTTAAACAATTTTTTGTTTATTTACTCCTTTCTGAGAAAAATGTTATTAGCATATTTGGATTCCTTATGAATTCACCTTTAATTTCATAAAAAAAAAATTGATGGAGACTCAACAGGTTCCGGAGATATTGAATTTTTTGTAAAAAATAGTCATAGTTACAGCAGCAATGCACGACTGCGGTAACGTACTACGCGACTTGTGCAGTATGGTGCTATGGCGCGGCGATGCTTTTTTTTTACAAAAAATTCAATATCTCCGGAACCAGTTGAGTCTCCATTAATTTTTTTTATAAAGTTAAAGGTGAATTCATAAGGAATCCAAATATGTTAATAACATTTTTCTCAGAGAGGAATAAATAAACAAAAAATGGTTTAAAAAATTTTTTTAAAATTTTTTTATTTAAAAATTCATTTTTTTTATTAATTTTATTTGAATTTTAAAGTACATACTTTTACCTGAAAAATGTGTAAATTTCATAAAAATCCATAAACAATATTCCGAGATATTCAAATTTTTATAAAATTAATATTAAAATTCAAAATGGCGTATCTTCAACAATTTTTAATTTTTTTGAAAATATTTGGGGGAAAGAAGTCTCTTATATAGAACTATAATCCCACGAAGTTTTGCGAAAATCGGCATACCCTTTGCAAATCGTGATATTTCTGACGTGAAATGCCTCTTCTCAAAGAACTTTTTTAAAAATTATTAATAATGATTATTAATAATAATTATAATTATTATAATTATAATTATAATATATAATTATTAATAATAATGATTAATTATTAATAAAATTATTAATAATGCATTTATAGAAGAATTCTATCTCCGAGTCGAAGAAAAACATTTTTTTACATTAGAAAAAAAAATTTGATCGTAAAAATAAATTAAAGATTTAGAGTAATAGTTAAATTAAATAATTCGCTTTAAATGGAAAATATAGTAAATAGTCAATATTTAATTACAAAAATAGTTAATAATTTAAAAAAAGTTTATTTCTGTCTTTTTATCTTATATGTAATGGACTAATGGTAAATTCAGAAAAATAAAATTTGAATATCATGCGTCCCACATTGTACCTATAAAATAATTTGAATTAAAAAAATGTCTCTAAAATAAATAACCGCAATTAAATATTTTTAAATATTTATTGATAAAAAAATTGATTAAAATTTAAATTGAGAGTAAAATAAAAATACTTTTCCGAGTGGAACATTTATTATTAATAAAATATGTACAAATCTAGTTTTAAAATATGATTTAGACGTTAAATATTTGAGGAGAAATTATGTTGATTAATAAATATAGAACATATATTTTCACCTCTGGACGTCTTAAAAAATTCGACAGAATTCAATTTCCGACAACACTCTTGATTTGTCAATAAATTTTAAACAATTCGCCGGATATTTCAATTACTTGGAAGAATTTAAATAATTTTGGCAAAGAACGTAACTATTTTATGACTAATACATTTGTAAATAAATAAATAAAATTATTATAGTAATAAACATCGAACGAGTAATAAACATTAAAAATAATTTTTTTTAACTGATCGTTTTTAATTTATCAATCAGTAAAAAATAATTCAAAATTGATTCCTTGACAATTATTAGAATTATTCTTTTTATTATTATTTTACTTTTGAATTTTTGCTTTTATTGAATATATATTTTTATTTTTGTATGTATTTCTTCATATTCAGCTTATTTTAAAATGAAAATATTTAAAATGAAAAATATGAAGATATTTGAAATGTAAAAAACTAAAAATTCATGTGTATAATAAATTTTTGTAATGTGGGCATTATTTTAATATTGGAATAATTTTGAATGCAGGAGTTGCGGACTGCTGGTGTCATATGCGGAGGTGAGGTGAAGCTGGAACATAGGAGGGATGAATGGAACGGCGGCTTTTCGGCACAGCGTCGGTGGAGGTGGGGGTGGTGTCGCCAGCCCAGGTGGAGGGAATCCTGGCGAACTTATACCCGTCACCATCCTCGTCATCTATAAGGATGATGCTGGATATGGAATGAAAGTGTCTGGCAACAACCCCGTCTTTATTCAATCTGTCAAGAAAGGTATAAGGAAAAAACGTATTAAATATTTTTCCTTTCACAAATATTATTAAACTGGCAAATGTTACGCGCACTAAACGCGGTATTTCATTTTATTATTTTATTATTCTGCAAGTTAAAGAATTTTTTATTAAAAGTTCCTCAGTTCAATGATTTTCAATATCTATTATTTTATTAGTATAATTTTCCAAAGGATTCAATTATTTACAAAAAATTTAATGAAATTCTACACAAATGTTTAATTATTTTCAGAAATAATAAAAAATCCAAAGGAATTTAATTATTTTCCTGAATAATAAAACTCATGGCAGAATTAAAATTATATTTTTTAAACAATTTTAATCAAATTCCTCGAAAAGTGTAATTTATTATTCTTAAAAATTTTATTAAAATTCGTCGAAAGAATTCAATTATTTAAAAATTTGTTGTTAAAATTCTGTATGAGAATTCAATTTTAATTAAGAAACATTCAGTTAGTCGATAAGTTATTTATTTTTGTATTTAAATAATTGAATTTTCGTAGAATTTTCTAATAAAAATTGATTTAAACATGAATTTCAGTTAAAATTTTAGATAATAATTGAATACCTATTAAAAGCATTATAGCTAGAATTTTTAAAAATAATTGACCTTTGAAAAAGTTTAAAATTAAAATCTTTAAATTTTTGAATTTCTCATCCTTTTAACTAACAGTTCTGTAGAATTAATTTTTTTGAAAAAGTTTAATTGAATTTTTTTCGAAATCATTTCAAGTTTTTATTTTCTAATATTTATTTACTTGAAGTGTTGGAAATCAAAAATGTTTTACAATACGCGGGTTCACTTTTTAAACTTTTGTTCTGATCTGTTTATATATTCGTGTGAATATATTCTATCGTCTTTTATTTCTAAATCATATCTTTTCTGCATTTTCTGTCTTCTATAAGCAGCACACAAATCGTGTATATCTTTTAATTACTCGTTTATAATAAATACGTTTTACCAGTTTACTTCCTTTTAAATTAATTAATTATGACCTGCTCATATGAAGAATTTCCGAAAATCGAATTTTTGTAAAATATAATTGTAATCAAATGGATTTGAAAATTCTCAAAGAACTTTTTCAAAAATTATTAAAAATAATTGACTTAAAGAAGATTTTTAGTTAAAAATTCTAGGAAACAGTAATTAAATTGAAATGGGGTTAGAATTCGTGAAATTTCCACAGAAAATAAAAAGTATTTCTTTTAAATCGAAATGTTGAAAAAACATTTCTATTTGGCCTTAAGATTGTGTCCACCAAAAAACAGAAAAAAAATTATTTTTTATAAAAGTTATTGCAAAATTAATTTTTTTGCAACTTTTTAAACAAAATTTGATTTCTCCTAAATGAATGAACCGATTTAAATGAACCAAGCGGGAATATAAAGGGGATAAAATATACTTTCGTTCAGAATTAGAAAATTTTTAAAAAGTTTATTTTTTAATAATTATTTAATAAATTTTTTATAAACAATTATTTTTTTTTAATGATCTACATCTTCTAAAAATTCGAAAAAAATATTAACATACACTTAAAACTATAAGAAATCAAAATCCGTTGAGAAAATTTTGGAGCGGCAATTATTTTAAATGATATAATGGAAATTATATTGAACGGAGATGCGATTTTGATGATTTTCAGAATAAAAACATTATTTTTTTATTTTTTACTACAAAACACTGTCAAATTAACATTTTTATTTAATTATATAACCATAAAAATTGATAAAAATGATCAAAAACTAATTTCAGCGTTGATGCACTACACTGCGCCAATATAATTTCCATTATAACTTTTAAAATAATTGTCGCTCCAAAATTTTCTCAACGGATTTTGATTTCTTATAGTTTTAAGTGTATGTTAATATTTTTTTCAAATTTTTAAAAGGTGTAGAACATTTAAAAAAATTAATTGTTTATAAAAAATTTATTAAATAATTATTAAAAAATAAACTTTTTAAAAATTTTCTAATTCTGAACGAAAGTATATTTTATCCCCTTTATATTTCCGCTTGGTTCATTTAAATCGGTTCATTCATTTAGGAGAAATAAAATTTTGTTTAAAAAGTTGCAAAAAAATTAATTTTGCAATAACTTTTATAAAAATAATTTTTTTCTGTTTTTTGGTGGACACATTCTTAAGGCCAAATAGAAATGTTTTTTCAACATTTCGATTTAAAAAAAATATTTTTTATTTTCTGTGAAAATTTCACGAATTCTGACCCAATGATAAAAACATAATTTTGAAGAAAAAAATTACTGGAATATGCAACGATTATTAATATAGAAAATAATTACAGGGTGTCTACAACACCTGGAAAACCTGGAAAATCGGGAAATGTCAGGGAATTTTTTTCATCATGACTTGAAATACTCTTGAACAATATTTTTAATGCTACCAATTAGTTTTACAAATTTTTAGTAAAAAATTAATACTAATAATTAATATTGCCTTTCTAATTTGCAATTCTATTCTATTTTGAGAAATAATATGAACCACAGACATACATATAATCAAATAGAAAAAATTGACAATATATGTCAATATATGTCAAGAAATTGATAATTCTGAAAGAAGTTGAATTTTTTGAATGCTTTTGATAGTCATAGAAAATTTAATAGACAGTTTTCTAAATTTTAGTGAACGAGTTTTATATATTGATGACAGTTTTCTAAATTTTAGCAAGCAACTCGTCACTGATTGTGACTCAAAGTATGTTATCCATTCAATGATTTTGTGTCCCGTCTCAAAGTAATATACTAGTCTATTAATGATTGACGGACTTTTTCTTTCCGTGTATTTAATTGAAGAATTTACGAATAATTGAAATTTCGTAAAATTGATTTAAAGAAGAATTTTAGTTAAAAATTTTTGAAAACAATTGAATTGATAATGATTCTATCACTCGGTTATCTTTAATTATTATAAAACATGAAGAAATCGATGACTCCGAGTCGAAGACTCGGAGTTATCGATATCTTCATGTTTTTTACATAGTTATGATTATGAAAAATTTAATTTAACTCGTACTGGTTATATTTTTGTTCGTAAATGGTACGTAATTTTTCATTTTCGTTCCGTAAAGTACGTTTTTTTAAATACTGTGTCACTGGTTCGAGCATTGATAATTTTTTTTTCTATTCAGACTTTTGTATTAATAAAACTTTTACAATGTTTCTTGAACAAAAAGTTTAAAAAGGAAAATTTTGTAAACGTAAAATGTTTTTTGAGTGAAAAACAGTTTTTTCTTTCAAATCGTTGGTGACAAACATTGTGAATACTTCTCCCACATCATTTATAAGTGATATCAAATGAAATTTAAGCAATGTATTTTTTGTAACCCTTTATTATATGTCAATTCTTAAAACCTGGGAAAAAATTTTTAGAAGGCCTGGAAAACCTGGAAATGTCAGGGAAATTTTTTTCAGATTAGTTGTAGACACCCTGAATTAGTTTTTTCAATTTTTTGGAAGATATGTAGAAAGATGAAAAAAATACTCATTAACTTTTTTATAAGACACTTTTTTCACCAGCGCATTCAGTTTGACTGAATAAAAATAAAAATAAAAATGAAAAAAATAGTTAAGCAACATTTTTCTGATTTGTAATTTTTAAATTTCATTTTTTCGACTTCTTTTATTTATTAATTATTTAATTTTTATTTCATTGACAAAATATTGAGATGTAACACAATTTAATTAAGTAAATTGTTTAAAAACCTTTTTCTTTTTAATTTTATAGATTTTAATTTTGAAATTGTTTTATATTTTGAATTTTTAATTAAAGAAACGTGATGATGAGATGGCAAATCAGTCTACCTTAGCATAATCTTATGAAAAAAGTAAATGAATGTTTTCTTTTATCTTTCTACTTAACTTCCAAAAATTGAAAACAATAATTATTTAGAAAAAATCAAATCTTTACATAAATAAAAAACAATTCAATTTTAATCCAAAATTTTCCATGAGACAAACTTACAGTTTTTAAATTCTTTAGAATATAAAAAGTTCGAACTATTAATTTTTGTAAGAATCACTCATGTAAAAAAGGCTACAGGCCTATTGTTACATTACTTGTAAATAAAAAAGAAAATAAAAAATTAATAAAGAAATAAAGAAATAAATATAAAATATAATAAATAAATAATTAAAAATACAACAAAATTATAATAATAAATTACCTGAATTAAATTAAGAATAATTATTTTGTCTCTTTATATTCTTAGAGTAAAAAAACTTTAATTAGAAAATTTCCCATTAGAATTTCAATTTTATTCTTCGGAGGAATAGTTTTGTACTCTTTTTATCTAAAATAAGATTTGAAATAACACAGTTATCAATTTACAAACAAAAAACAACTGCGTTTGTTTAGAAAATTTTTCGCAGTGTTTTTTTTAGATTTTTATACAATTATTTATCGATGATTTAATGAGCTACGTTTATATGAGAAGTGTTTTCCATTTCAAAAGGAAGTACATCACAGTCTCGTGACATTACTGCCACGGAAAAAAATTAATCTCTAAACTTGAAATAATATTAATTTGAAGTCCAATGAAATATAAGTGTATCTAAATTAAACATTATAGTCACAATTACTGTGATAAGTTGTGTTTGATTCTGTCAAACTTTATACCAGAAAACGCCATAAATTCACATCTCTGATTTAGAGATTTGTTAATTTCACAACTTTTTTTATATGAATTAGGTACATTGTGTTTTAAGTTAATCAGTGACAAAAAAGATTTAAACCATTTTAATTAATTAAGTATTAATTTTATTTTCAAATATCCAAATAAAAGCGAAGGTCTGTGAAATTTTAAGGTTACAATTGTCGCCCGACAAAATACGGCACTGACTGATTTAAATGACGTAAAATAGGTAAATAAACATTTTCCAACCACTTTTTCTCTAAACACAGACACTTTTTACAAAATAGACCAACATACAATGGGTAAGAATCTTCTTAATAACCTAAATTCAAAAGATTGTTTAAATTCATGCAGAAACGCGGTTGTCAAGCGGTTGTAAAATGTAAAATTGGAAATGATTGGAAAGTAATGTAATGACAGACAACAAGAAGCAGATTACTGCCAGTCGCCAGAAGAGGGCAGAAGCATGCAGAGAGCACAATGGTCCAGCTGTTATATTCTTAGCATTACATCACTTTCCAATTTTGCATTTTACAACCGCGTTTCTGCATGAATTTAAACCATCTTTTGAATTTAGGTAATTAAGAAGATTCCTACTCGTTGTATGTTGGCCTATTTTGTAAAAAGTGTCTGTGTTTAGAGAAAAAGTGGTTGAAAAATGTTTATTTACCTATTTCACATCATTTAAATCAGTCAGTGTCGTATTTTGTCGGGCGATAATTGTAACCTACAAATTTTACAGACCTTCCAACGCCGTTAAAACAAAAAAATGAAATAAAAATATAAAATTCGTATTGTGTTTTAAAAATATCCAACTACTTTTTTATACTTGTCAATGTATAGTTCATACAGGGAAAACAATATAAATATTTTGTGAATAATTCTCACTCCAAATTGTGATAAATTATAAATTCTTATTACATCGAGTTATTACAAAAATACGAATTATATAAATATACGATTAAGATTTTTAATATTGTTTATTCAAATAATATATTAGATTTGAATTTATTCAAGTAAGTTGATAGTTTAGAACATATGTTCCATGTCATAAAATTTGAGATTCCTAATATCATTTTTAGGCATAAGAAATACGTGTTCTTCACAATACTAATATTCGGATTAGATATAATACCAAATTTCAGTTTTAGTGATCTGCTTACATCTTACGTCCGATTCCAGTGATAGTTTATGCCTAAATCTCAGATTTAATCTCTAATTTAGAGATTAATTTTTTTCCGTGTGCGGCAAATGTAGTTAAAAAGAAAAGAAAACTTAAATTTGACATAATATTGAAATAAAGTGAATCTTACAAGTGCGATTTTAATCAAGTCTTATTTTCAAACATAGTATTATCAATGAAGATAAATCAGTTGAATTGTAAACGTTGTCGAATGATAGAGTATTGTATTGTTAAGAAAATTATTAATAGGCTAGATCCGTTTAAAAAGTTTATATATTTATACCTCTTTGCAAAGTTTCTATCAGTGTTTATATATGTATTTAGAGAAACTTAGAAAACTTGTTTTCGATAAATATATATTTATTGCAATTTTTTAATGCATCTTTATTTTCCTGTAGGCGGTGCTGCAGCCAGAGCCGGAGCTCATGCTGGAGACAAAATAATCAAAGTGAGTTTTATTTAGTTGAATATTTACTTTATAGACAATGACTCATTGCTATTTTTTAATTGTCATTTTTGTATTCTCTCTCGATTTTTTAATTTTGTTCACTTCTTTTTTACTTTATTCTGTTTAATTTCTTTTTCCCTGCTTTATTCTTTATTCTTTTTTTTACATTTCATTCTGTCCAATTTTTTCCACTTTTTTGTACCAATTCTTTTTCTCCAGTTTACTGTGTCCAATGCTTTTTTCCACTTTATTCTGTCTAACTTCGTTTTTTTCGTTCTGTCTAAATTCTTTCAATTCTACTTCATTCTAAATTTTTTTCACTTCTTTGAATTTTAAGTTCTTTACACTAGGAAAATCAAAATTTATATGTAAATTTTGTCGTTAATATTCTAATTCTATTGCGAAGTGTTTTTCTACAAAAAAAATGTACTATACTTGGTTTTTAAAAAAGTTTAAAAGTTTCGTCTTTTAAGCTTTACAACAAAATAATCTACTTGGTTTTTAAAAAAGAGTTTCAGAAAATAATTTTTTTAAAATTCATACTGAAACACTGTTTTTAAATTTTTTATTATCTGATTATCAAAAATTCGACTTTTTTTTCCAAATATTGAAACATAATACATAAATTCAACTTATTTAGATTTTTATAGTGTGAAAAATAACTACAGACAAATCTTTAAAAAATTATTTTAGAACAATTTTTTTAAGATAATAGATAGAATTTTTTGTATTCTAATTTTTTTAAATTCAATTATTTTCAATATTTTTAATTAAATATTTCCGAAAATTAAAATTAAAATTTTTCAGAATTATTTTTAACATTTTGGAAAAAATAATCTTGTTCAACATTTTTAATTACAATTATTAAAAAAATTAATTATTTTTTTTTAAATTATACAAAAATTCTTTTAAAATATTCAATTATTTTCGAAAAATGTCATTACAATATTTTACAAAAACTAATGTATAGAATTATTTTTTTATAATTTTTTAGCAATCTATTATCTTCGAACAAAGTAAATTAAAGTTTTTTAAAATTTACTTTTTTACAGTTATTGAGAAATTTTGGAGAAATCATGTTCATATTTGATAGTTGAAATTCTTCAAAAATTTGAGTATTTTTAAAATTATTTTTCAAAAATTGAATTACATACCTACCTACTTGTAAAATATTTTACGAAATTTTAAGTAATTGGAAATTTTGTTAATTGTACGTATATAATTGAAAAACTATTATCTTTCACAAATTAATTTAAAATATTTTTGAAAAACTTATTTTAAGAATTCCTTTATTATAATTTTTTGAAAATATCATACCTTAATAACTTTAAAAAAAGGACAGTTACAGTTACAATTATTATAAAAAATTGAATTTTTGTATTTAAATAATTAAATTCTCGAATAGCTTTCGTCGAAAAATGTTTAAAAATAATTGATTTAGAGACGAAGTTTGCTTAAGAATTATGGAAAATAATTGATTTTTATTTCCCGTGGAAAAACAAATTAAATATTTATTTAACAAAATCACTCAAGTTTTGAATAATTGCATTTAGAAATTAGTGAAAGGTCAGGAAAATGCAAAATAAAATTTTTGTGACAACACTGAATTAAATAAACGAATTTTTGTATTTTTTTAATCGACTAAAGCGACTTTTTTTGCGGCTCAAAGTCGGTCCGAGGCCTGAAAATATTTTTAAACTTTTGCTCGAATTCCCTACTTTTATTTTATGATCAAATCAAATGGATTCTATTATTTTGAAGTGGAAAAAATCATGAGAAATAATATTTTATAAACTAGTTGATTTATAATTTAAGGTAGTTCTCCGGCTACTTATCTTGAAAAAATTGATTTTCGATAGATTTTCTTCAAATTTTGAAAAAATGTTTCTTATAATGGCCCTTAAATGTGGTAAAAATTTCGAAATCCTTTGCGATGCTAAATTTTGAGTTATTCAAGTTCAAACTTTAACTTTTACATGCGATTATGTTAAAAATAAAAAATGTCAACCACAATATCTCGTTTTTTGACATGGCAAAGGGTTTTAAAATTTTTACCATATTTAAAGGGCACCGAAAGAAACATTTTCTCAAAATTTGAAGAAAATCTATCGAAAATCAATTTTTTCAAGAGTAGCAGCCGGAGAAATACCTTAATTAATTGATAATAATTGAGGTGTAAACATAGTTTTTTTGATTTTATTTTTAACTTTTAGGTGAATGGAGAGGATGTAATGCACTCGACACATGAGGACGTTGTGAAACTTATAAAAGGTGAGTTTTTAAACCTTTCCCTTAAATTAAAAAAATTAAATCATATTTAAAAAATTAGATCAATGTTGTACATTTAAGCAAACTCAAAAAAGATGGAATTTAAAAATTTTTAATTTTTGAATTACAAAATAAATAGTACCTACAGAAAAAAAAATTAATTAATTAATTAATAAATAAATACTAATAAAAAAATGAATAGCGAAGAAATGGCCAAATAGACCTTTTCATTTAAGACCGGAAGTTGGAGCTACGCCATGACAGACGGCGCGATTTCAAAATTTTCGAGCAACTTTGTGTCAGAATGTATATTCAGGGTGTCTAGCGAACCGGGAAATCGGGAAAAACCCGGGAATTTGGTTCGACCTCAAAAAACCGGGAAAAACCCGGGAATTTTCTATTTATAGGGTATTTTTTGAATTATGTATATAAAAAATTATAATTTTTTTCAAAATCGTCAAGGGTAAATTGATAGTATGAAGCAGTAGTAAAAATAATAACTTAAATTTTATTTAAAACTAACTTTAGTATACGTTATATTATAAAAGTTAAAGGATTTGTACTATTATTATTTTTATATAACAATTTATAGGTATACAATACGTAACAAATTTTATAAGAAGAAATTAAGAATCTTCTGTGATATAGGAAAGGCAAAGATTTTACTTTTTAACCACTTGAGCGGCAGGGCGTCAGAATTGGCGTTAGACGTAGAAGTGACAGAAGCGGCAGAAAGGCGTCAAGACTTGACTCCGATTTTCTAATTCTGTAAGGAGATTTATAATATCAAACTGAAGTATTTTTTTTTAAGATAAAAGAACAGACTTATGTCTTCTTTAATCTTAAAAAAAAGATTACTATATTTTGATATTCTAAATCTCCTAACAGAATTAGAAAATCGGAGTCAAGTCTTGACGCCTTTCTGCCGCTTCTGTCACTTCTACGCCCGACGCCAATTCTGACGCCCTGCCGCTCAAGTGGTTAAAACTAAATATGGGGCATTCCATTTCAAAATAATCCTCTTTATAAACAATTGACATTGTAAGGCAATTTTTAAATCATTATTTCTCATATTTATTGAAGCCAAACTTTATTTACTATTAGTGGTTTTAAAACAAAAATTTCTCAACTTTATAATGGTAGAAATTTTTTTTTTTAAATAATAGAATTTATGAAAAAAATTAAGTTTGAAAGATAACCTTTTTGAATATCTCAAAACACGTCGCATCCGATTTTCTTGAAACTTATGTAAAAATAAAGCTTAAATATTCTAGTTTAATTCTATGTAAACATTATAATGTGCAATTCATGGTTTGAGAAATTAATTAAATTTTACAAGTATTTCAAAGGGTATAATGTATGTACCGAGCGGAATTTTTTTTTCAAAAAAAGTTTTTCTTAAATTCCCCTGAATTGACAATTATATTATAAAGTTGAGAAATTTTTATAAGTGAATTTTGATATTCTATGTCAAGTTTTTAGAAATTATTGTATAACTTTAATCATTGTAATTTAATAAAAACAATATTTAATTACGTAAATAATGTTATTGATAAACATTTAAATATGTTTTTAAATCCTTTGTGAATATCCGGGAAAATTATTCAAGAACCCGGGAAAAACCCGGGAATTTTAAATTGACGATTCGCTAGACACCCTGATATTGTGCTAATAACAATTCAAATAAAAAACTCGATGAAAATGACATTCTAAAAGCAAAATTAATGTTTGAACAGGTAGAGAAAAATACTGTCTGTCAATTAAAAATATGGTTATAAAGTAAAGTGACCATACGTCCCGGATTGTGCGGGACTGTCCCGGATTTTTCCCCTTCGTCCCGCAAAGGCTAGCGTCCCGCAAAACGTCCCGCATTTGACATAAAATGTCCTGCATATCCCGGAAAATAGTTAAGAATATCCTGCATCTACAGGTTAGCACAGTAGCGTATATAAGTGTGAGAGAGATAGACTTCGTGATATTTTAAGAAAAATTCAATCGTCAGAACATATGTGATTCAATGTTACAAAATAAGCATAATATAAATATGTAAATGTCATAAGACGAGCCTTTGTTTCAATTCCGCTCAAATTGACGCCTACAAATTCCCTGATTCTTTTTTCTTGTCACAAATGACCTTTTTTTTGTTTACTAAATCATATAAATAAGCGGGTGTCCCGCATTGACACTATTTTCATATGGTCCCTTTATTATAAAGACGAAGTCAGTGTTTAAAGGGTAAAAAAGTCTATATTGTTTACATGTAAATAAGGTTATGTTATGTTATGAACATAACCTTACCAACAGGTCTCATTTTCGACATACTTGACAAGTTTTGCAATTACTTCGAATATTTTCATTCCTAATATTTCATTTTCTAGCTGTTAAACGGTTTTGGGAAAGAAATAAAGTAATAATTTTCAGTCAAATAAGACTTGCAACGAGTATCACTTTTGCAATTCTCAAAACAACATTTCTTTTGTGCATCAATTTTTTTCCTTTGTGGATTATTTTTCTCAGGGATACTGCTCATTTTTAATACACGCTAATTTTTTTTCTACATTCATTAGTAATATTTTTTAATTACTTTTCACTATTGGCACTGTGCATTTTGTACAAAAAGTGCTCGAAACTTTGTCGGAAGTTCTATATATATTCCGCGCTTGCGCAGTACAGATTCCTTAAATGAAAAGGTCTATTATTAGCAAAAATACACTGCGAAATGTAAATATAGAACTGGACCGAAATATGATAATTTTCAAAGAACGATAACAGGAAAAATTAACATCAATGGTAAATGTATGGATGATAAATAATATGTACAATGTGAATAGTAATTGCTTCTAATTAACATTATCGTAACGATTGTATTATGAAAAAAATTGTTTATTTTTTGTCGATCGCAATATTATTTTCTATATTTTTCTTATATGGATTTTCTGCGTGACTTATTTTTTTTCTCCATTGCGTTTCGTCCTCGCAATTTTTTTCCAATTATAATTTCATTGAAGGCCTTATTAACAGGATTGAAACTTTGTTATATCATTTTGATTACATTTTAATCACGTGAGTTTATAGCAATGACTTGTTTCAACTTTATGTCCTCTCTTTGACACTTTGAAACTCTGTACAACAGGTAAAGATCATAGAGTCATTCAGTCATTTATTCTACTTTTCTTCCAAATATTTCGACAAAATAACACTTTTTTGGTATAAAATGCAATTTTTTCGATTTTTATAGTGTGAAAATTAACTGTAGTCAAATATTTTTTTGTATAGGGTCTTTTTTTGCAAGTCTTTTAGCGCATAAAACAAACTTTTCTTCTCACTGTAAAAAATATGGTAAAATTTCAACAATATTGATAGGGAAAATTAAATGGAAAGAACTAATTTAACGTAGGGAACTATTTATTTTAACTTGTCAGGAACGAGGCTTTACAAATACTGTTAGCAAGGAAATTAGAAGAAGCGTAAGGCGTCTATTTTAGGTGACATCTATATCTTGACTGGCGCCAAGTAAACAATAATTTAAAAATGAAATGTCATAAGTGTCTTTGTTGATTCTTCAACACTCCGCCTCAATTAAAACACTGATTTTTAAAAAAAACGAAAAAGTCCCTTTAATTTACAAAACTTTAAGTCCAATTCACTAGCACATTTTTCGTGTTTCACTGCTGGAAGAGCTTTGGTCAGGACGTCTGCCGTCATCTCCTCGGTGGGAAGGTACACCAACTCTATGGGGTACTCCTGGATTGCGTTCCTGATGAAATGGTAGCGGATCTCAATGTGTTTCGATTTCGAGTGAAAAACGGGATTGAGGGCGAGTTTTCCGGCTGATTGATTGTCGTTAAATAAAATAATTCTCGATAAGTTCTTCAGATTTAACTCCTTTAATAGTGTGATGAGGTAAACTGCCTCCTTTGCAGCTTCGCTGAGACTCATATACTCCGCCTGAGTCGACGACAGTGCTACAGTCTTCTGTTTTCGGGAACACCAGGACACTGCTCCGCCGGAGACGATGAAGCTATAGCCGGTGTATGATGTTCGATCGATTGGACAATTTCCCCAATCTGCATCGGCATATCCGGTTACCTGTTGATCATTCCGTGAGTAGACGAGCTTCATATCAGCTGTGCCTTTGAGGTAGCGCAATATTCGTTTGGCTGCCTCCCAGTGACGTCGTCCATGGTCGTTGTTGAATTGGCTGAGTAGATTCACCGCGTGGGCGATGTCGGGACGAGTCCCGATTGCTACGTATGAGAGAGCTCCGATCAATTCCCTGAATGGAAACGATGTCATCCTCTCCGATGCTGATGGTTTTTCCAGCTTGTTTCCGCAGACGAGAGGAGTCTTCACCGGTTTGCACTCAGACATGTTGAATCTGGATAAAATTTCATTAATATATCCGGTTTGACATAATGTTACCTTATTTAGTTTCCAGTTTTTAATGCTTCGAGCATTCTCCTTGTTTTTCGAAGAATGACTGCGTCCTTTTCAGTTTTCACTATTTCTTCAAGAGATTCCTCTAACAATTCTGGAACTTTCATGAAAAGAAGGGTGTCGATTTCTCCGTTGAGGTAGGCCGCTGTTATATCTAATTGATAAATTTTTAGATTTGATTTTGCTGCGAGAGCTGCCAGCAAGCGGAGAGTTTCGAGCTTTGCTACCGGGGCGAAAGTGTCGACGAAGTCAATACCGGGTCTCTGGGAGAATCCTTGGGCAACTACCCTCGCCTTTCTCCTATTGACTGTACCATCCGGGTTGTACTTGTTTCGGAGCACTGTTCTGCAGCCGATGATCCGTTGATTAACTGGTTTGTCTACGAGTTCCCAGGTGTCATTGCTTATCAGGCACCTGGTTTCCTGATGAATAGCCGTCATCCATTCGTCGCGTTCGTTTCCAGTGATTGCGTCCTTTAGAGGCACTTCCGATACATTGAGGGCAAAATTGATGTCGAAGTATTCGTCGTCGCTGTTGCTCGAGCTACTGAGATCTTCCATTGGCAC